TTTGTTTCTTTGGTTCTTTTGGAAAAAAAAGAAGTTTGACCTTAAAACCAGATACACTTGGTAACAAGTGGTACAGTGTTAAGGCTGTGGACAGAAAACCGAGAAGCAATTAAGTTTGACCTAAAATGGGTCTTTACCAGAGGGGGAGCAACACCTGATGATCTTTAGGCTGATTTTACGTTGACTCATATTGAGGAGATGATAGTGAATGTTGATGGAGAGGGAGCAGATGAGCAGAGATAGTCTGAAGGGCAGGATGAGAGAGAGGAGTTGCTATACCATCAGGAAAAAGAAAAAAGAAGACAAAGGAAAGAGGGTTAGTTAGCCATTCATCATTTTGAATCAGTGGGGTCAGAGGAGGATATAAGAAGGGAGCAGAAGCAAGTGGCTCGTTGAGGGGGAGGAACTTCATATGTACAGTAGATGCACTGATAAGAGCCGTGCAGAATGCATGGAGCGGTCGAGGCTGACAGGAAATATAGTTTAAAAAAATGTCATTTCAAAGGGTTGTTTTTGTTAAATTTTCAGCTGAGACGCAAAAGAAGAAAGAGAGGAGAAATTAATAGTACAAAACAAATTCAAACAAGTCAGCTTTTTGTCAATTTCTGATGGCAGCAAGGAGACTTTTTCAATTAACTATGCAAGGTTTACAGACAGCAAAGCTGTGGGAGGAGATCATGACAGTGAAGGTCAAAAGACGAACAGAGGACAGCTGCGGAAGTCTGGAGTTAGAGAGAATTACTGCTGACAGCAGATTCTGCTAAGCAGTGGCATTAATGCAGAGGATAAATAGTGATGGAAAATGAAATAATTCAACTTCTTGTGTAGGGTTGGTGAGGTCAGCAAAGATGTAGCATGTCTGTTGGACTACTAAGTAGAGAAGCAGTGTCGGTGCGATACACGCAAGTCCATGTCGATGTGTCCTTGGGCGAGAAACTTAACCCCAAATCGCAGGCTGTTCCTGTGGTGTGTGGATGTTAGTTAGAGTCCTGATGGGCAGGTGGCACCTTGCATGGTAGCATCTGCCATTGGTGTGAATGGGTGAATGATGACATGTAGTGTTAAAGCGCTTTGAGTGGTCGGAAGACTAGAAAAGAGAAATACAAGTACAGTCCATTTACCATTTACTCTTACACACACAAGTGAGACACAGTGTTTTACTCAGTTTTACTGTTTTGGCTATCAGCTAACAGAGTTAAAAGTACACACTCTGCTGCCTGCATCGCCACTGCTTTGAGGCCACAGACAGTTATTCAGTGCCTTTTTCTTGGGCATCAACCTGACGTTTACCTGCGTATTGTCGAAAAAATGTAATCTGCATAGAGTCTTGTGCGAGTTAAAAAGTCATCTGATAAACTTTCAGTCTATACTAATTATTTATTAATTGTGTCATGCACATACAGTACAAGTGCCCAGCCTACATAAAGTTATGAGGAACCTAAAATACCATTGCCGTGATGAAACATTACACAACAATGCAAACAGAGAGCTAACGTGTAAGATCTGCCACAATCCTCCATCCAGAAGAAGTCATCAGAAATGGACATTTTAATGAAAAGTATACTCCTTGAATAATCATATAATTCAAAATAAAATGAAGATCTTCAGTTTTACCTAAATCACATGACAAAGTATTTGCTCTTTAAGCAGACAGATAAACCTGCCTGTTTCTATAGCTAGTAGCAATGTCCCTGAATGCCACATTTAGAGAACATTGACTTTTGGCTAATTTGTGCTTCCCATAGGCTGTAGCTGTTTTCCATTGTTGGTACCAAACATCAACACACCATCTTCCCTTAACCATCACGGACAATTTGCTCTGAGCATCTTAGATATAACTGTAACCTGTTTTGAAAAATAAACAAAAAATGCAAAAATCATCCAAATGATGATTGCCCCCGACTAATCCAACACCATGTTTCCAAAATGTCCAAGTTAAAAGATATTTCTTGTGAGCCACTGTTGTGACATATTCACCAAAGCCAGACTATCTCACATTTATGTTCGCATCTCACACTGTATCACTGCAGATGGCCCAAAACTGCTGTTCCCACAAACTCTCAGAAGTATGGAACTGCAATGAACTGTGATACAATTTACATTTCCCCCCCAAACACACTGCTCTATTTATCCTGTATTAAATCTGTGTCTCGAGTGTAGGAAATTGAACCAGGGATGCCATGATCATAAGTCAGCTTCTCTCAAATCTGACTTCCCACTGCTCTCCAATTGAGAGAGAGAGGAGGAATGACAGCACTGGAGCAGAGAGGAGCAGGAAAACATAGGATTGAGGAGAGAGACGGAGGAATTGTGCTGCATGGAGACAGCAGCAAGTGTTTCTGTCTTGTCCGAGGTGATCAATGTCTGTGAGGCGGCACAGAAAGGCAGAGGCGGGGATAGATGAGCTCTGGTGTCTGGACCACTGACTGACAGCTCCGGCATCCTGCCTCTACAATGGCGTGAGTGTTAGCTGACCTGAAGGGTTGAATAAGGTTAAATTGACTGCATTGTTGGGGACAGATGGCTCCATCCTCTGAAAAAGCAAGCGGGGGGGATAGATGAGGATACTGTGAAGAGGGAGAGGTAATGAAAACAAATAGGGAGACGGACGTGGATTTACTCTGTCCTTCTCCAGCAGACGACGGTGGATAAGCTCCCTTGTTTTTGTGCAGCTGTTCGTGCAGAGGGTGACTTACACAAGGCTGAGACCCGTCAGTATGACCACAGCAGGGGAGAAAAGGCTAAGGACAAGCATTTTAATGCTGATTGGAATAATAACAGGGGTGTTAAGCTCAGTGGGGGAGGCAGTGTCACTCTTTGTAAACCTTCAGCAAGGCACTCTTCAAGCGAGGTAGCTTACTCCCACTAGGCAACATACTAAGCCCACACAACCCACAATAGCATTAAGGAAAGCAAATGTGAGTCATATTTGAGGCACATTCCTTTACAGGTAATGTCAATGTGCTTTGCATTAACGTGCATGCAGCACAAAAAGACATGAGAATATATTAAATAACAACAAACACACACACAAAGATAGACTTGGCCTATGGCTTAGGTCTAAATAATAGTCAGACTTCAAATAGATGTCTAAAAGAATCTGTTAAGCTGGGGTCTGCAACGTATAGCCCAATGTTGCCAAGTCTTTTCCAATGAGAGTAGCTAGCAGCACTAGCTCCAAAGGTTGCTAAACCTAGAGAAAGTCTGCACTGACAAAGCCACTCCCCAAAATGATCATCATGAACGTAAACAACCAACGTGGCTGCTGTTGGTACTCACAGCAGCTTGTGGAGGATTCTGGTGATGTGCAATGTGTGAACGGGTAGACAGGTAGACGGGCAGGTAACCTGTCCAATCATTACATCCGGGCCGAAAGAAATGACGGGCTAATAAAAGTTCTGCAGCAACAGATAACAGATTTTCTTTTTTGTGTCCGAGTATTTCATTTGTTGATTGCTGTCTGGATGCAAAGACAATTTCAACAAATACAACACAAAAATGTTTCGGAAATACATTAACCACCTTAGTTTTAAGAAGGGCTAATTTGCCATGAATTCTGGGTAAATGAAGACTTTTTTCTAACTAAAAACAGGGCTGGCCGAGTTACCAAATCAAACCACTCCACTTCGTTCACTGAAAATATTAGCCTTCTGTAAGAATTGGACAGTTACAGTATACTGGGGAAATTCAGCAAAGACGTACAATAAAAAATCCAAAAAAATCCAGCAATGTCAATTCTTGAAGCAGTACAAACAGCAGGGCTCTAACTATTGCTACTGCTAACTGTTCAGTCCAGCTCAGTTAGTTCTCAGTAAACACAGTTGTGGCAGCAGGTTGTTTGATTTATGGATTGTATGCATCTACACTACAGTACATTAAGTAAACCCTTTATCTAATAATAAGTGTTCCTCTGTCCCATTGGCATCCTCAAGTTACAAAAAGGTGGAAGATAGGACGCCAATTCTATTGGTTTGTTACCATGGAGAGCAGAATTTGAATTTAAAAAATATGAAAAAAATTACACTGTATACTACTTTACTCCTGTTTTGAATGTTGTTCAATTCCACATAAACTTCTCTTCTCCTCCGCCTTAGTGTACTTCATGTATCCTAGGAAAGACTTCTTTTTCAGATGTTTTATTAAGAAAATAAACTTTTTGAACATTTGAAGTCCCCACAGTGAATGAAAAGCAGATGCACACTTGTATCTAGGCCATGCACTGTACGGCATGCGAAGGCCTCGGTGTGGAGTTTAACAGGCCATGACAGAGCGCTTTATTATGCGCTCTGAATTATTCTTGTTCGTGGCAGCAGCGCGCGGACGAGGCGCTGTTCGTGGTGCTGAAACGCAACGCACGTCTACACGGATGTCGTACGTGACTCGAGACACAAGTCCACTCGTTGGGCATTTCAACTCAACCGATGTGCAAGTCTGAATCCCAGTGAAGGACTATAAAGGTTTATATAGTTCTTGCTCTCCATTATAATGAAAAAGACACCTTGTTGCATTACATTAAACGCGTGCTTTTTACCAAAAGACGCACAAAGCCAATTGTCCTCCAAACGGCTGATTTACAGTCGTTTTACATCCGGGAACAAGTGTAGTGTCAGTGGGCAGCAGCGTGCATGCCGCTCGGGTATTTCTTAAGTGATTTGGTCCGGTGCACAGCGCGTGGTGTTTGCAGGCACGGCGCATGCGAAGCTGGGTTTCGGGAGAAGCCGTTGTTTCTGTGCAGCGCGAGCTGGACACGATTCTTCCGTTCGCTCAGTGTAGAGGAGCTGTGACGCGTTGAGATCACTAATGCAAATGAGACTGACTTCCTCCCCTCCTCCTCTCTCTGTCTCTCTCTTTTTTCTTTCTCTCTCTCTCTGTCTCTCTCTGTCTCTCTCTCTCTCTCTCTCTCTCTCTCTCTCTCTCTCTCTCTCTCT